GCAGGGCAACAGATTTAGAGAACAACCAGGCTGGGTTCAGCAGAATGGAGGGTTTTTAGAAGTATGTCTCCAATATAAGAGAAGCTGATAGATTACATGGAGTGTTCGAACATGCTGAGAGGATATTTACACTTATATAAGTAGATTTGGTGAAAAATAAGTAATCAACAACCCAGAAACCTAAGCAGATAAATAGTGGGACAATAGTTAACTGTGAAAGGAAGCCATGCCAGAAAGGAAATGTAATCATAGTACACTGCATGGCTCAGGTCTACATAATATTATATACTATAATCATATAAAGCAAAATAAAAATTGTGATGGAAATTGGGAAGATTTTTCAACAAAATTGTGATAGAAATTTCTCCCAGGGAACAGGAATATCTGCTTATGGGAAAAAGAGAAACACCTGCTAGGAGTTGGAATGGGAAGCTGAATCCTCATCTTTTATCCTATGAAGCCATTAGATAATGACTTCAAAACTGAAAAACCATGAGATAACTGCATAATGTTATTACATAGAAATATGAAAATAAATATCACAAGAAACAGCTTAAAAACCTGAAAATAGTTATTCCCTGGAGGTAGAACTTGGAAGTGTGAAGGAGTGCTTTTTTTTTTTTTTTTTTTTTTTTTTTTTTTTTTTTTTTTTTTTTTTTTTTTTTGCATCTCAAGCAGGCTCCATGCTCATAGCAGAGCCCAATGTGGGGCTAATATTTTTCAAATGTAAAACCTATTTAAGAAAAAAAAAAGAAAACCCATTTATTTAGGAAAGCTTACTAATAAATCTGGCAAGGATGGATTTGTGTGAAGTCAAAGATTAAATTTGAGGTAGATATGGTGTTTGCAAAGAGCTTTTTTTTTTTTTTTGGCAGGAGGGATTTGCTTAGTTTTAGGATATGCATTTTGTAAAAATTTTTTATTTTTTATTTTTGAGAGAGAGACAGAGCACAAGCAGAAGAAGGGCAGAGAGAAAAGGAGACACAGAATCCAAAGCAGGCTCCAGGCTCTGAGCTGTTAGCACAGAGCCCGATGCGGGGCTTGAACCCACAAACCATGAGATCATGACCTGAGCCAAAGTCAGTCACTTAACCCACTGAGCCACTCCAAGGATATTCATTTTCTATATTTACATATTTAATTGATATAGATAAAATGGCACACATTTCTCTGGTAATTCCATTTATGAGAAAACAAAGCACCGGTTAGTGAATTAAGTTAGTTAATTAGTGGAACCACTTAGTTCTCAATTTAGGGACCAAATAAAATTAGAACATATGAATCTCTTCTCTAACCTCTGGCTCCACAGGGAGCAGAGAGAGAACTGGGAAAGCTTTTAGTGACCATGGGCTACTCCTAGGGTTGGTTGGCAGGGAGGATGGGTGAACAAACAACCTGAGAACCTTAACCATGAGGCATGGGGCAGACAGGAGTGAGGCAGTCAGACTGAGAGGCTTCAGCAGTGCAGAGGGAGAGCTAAGCAAGACCGCCTTTTACATGTTGGAGACAGTTTGCCCGGATGCAGAGTATAGATGCCAGAAAATTGACAGAATGAGAAAAAATAGGGAGAAATTGTTTCCATTGTATTTAATTAATACTAATTAAATCTTAGATTATTGACTTAGACAATTGAATCCTGAACACTGTGCCTTCAAGGGCTCTTCCTCCCCATTCTGAAAATCTGCTCTTGAGGCATATTAGTCCTAGGGGTTGTTTATATTTCCCCATTTCTACTTCTGTTTCAATATATCTGCAGTAGTTATTTCACAATGTCCATTAAGTCTGTGAGCACAGAAATACAATTTTAGAACAGCCTGCCTACCATCCATCTTACTTCTTTCCTGGAAATCTGTTCAGGTTCTCATTCCTGTCTTATCAAAGGGCCATCTCTTCTGTTTTTCTGCAGTGTTTTGGGCTGATCAGATTAGTTGAACAGAAGCCATAAATGGAAGTTTGGGCACATCCTTTACTAGCTCCTACTCATCTTTCTGGTTTCCACACCTTTTCCAGTTTCCCTTTGCCTTGGCTCCCCACCCAGTTGTCCAGTCATCTACTCACCCTGGGATATATCTCGTGTGGGTGGGTAGAAACTATAATCTGATCATTCCATGACTGGTTCAGACCTCATTGGACGTAAAGCATAAAAAAGACAGCCATCTGTGGTTATTCTTCACTGAGGACTTGCTTTCCTGGCATGTTCCCCCCAAATTGCCAAATTCAAGTGATTGCCATCACAAATGGGATTTTCATCTTCAGAATGATCAGGTTACCCAGCAAAGCCTTCTCCTGCTTCTTCCACTGTCTTTGGAATTGAAAGCAATCCAGCTGTCTCTAAGGGAAAAAAATGAAAACAAACACAAAAATAAACTACTTTTACATTGTAAAGAGTGGGGGAAATTGGCCATTTTTTTAATATTAGAAATTTCAAACAGATGGAAAGCTAATTTATATTTTCATTTTGACATTTACTTACCCAGTGGGAGTGTGATTAAGCCATATTTTAAGCCCAAAGTGGCCTTCATCTGAAAATGTTATAGACATATTCTACTGGTAATGCTCTTCACCATCAACAGAACTTTAGGACCCAGAAACACTAATTCTCCTGTGCCCAGACCACCCTAATCAAGGGGTGCAGGGGATAGGAACCTCCTCTGTGAAAATGTTGGTCTCTTATGATCCTCCCTGTTTCCTTTCTTGCCCCACTTGGGGCCATTTTCTGTAGAGCTGGCAAAGGGATCTTCCTTCAATGCAAATTTGACCATGCCAGCCCCATGCTTGAAATAAACCTTTCAACGACTCCATATGACCCTCATAATTAAGTTAAAACTCTAATATTTAGCATGTTATTACAGTCATCTTCGATCAGACCCTGCTCACTCTTCCCTGCCTGTTCATTCTGCATCCAAATCATACTAAGCCGTGTGTCATCCCAAGATGTGCCTCTCCCACTGTCACTACCAGCCATTTGCACTCGCTGCCCATTTGGCCTGGAAAACCCCACTGCCCCTTCTTTACCATTTTACCATGCTAAAATATGACCAAAGATAATTTTACCTGAAACGTTTAGAATTCTAGGGCTTCACTGATTAGTCTCATGTTTGCCCAGGATTTTCAATCTTACTGAATTTCCATCTTACACATTTTCCTACGTTGTTGAGTGAAAACACACATTAAAATTCTTCCAAAAAAACAACCTTCAAAAAAAAAAACAGCCCCAAAAGATAGATATTTTGCCTAAATCACTGAAAGCAATCTAATCACAAGTGAGTGATTCTTTTCCACACATGATGGAATTTTCCCTTACTGGCTCTGGCCACATCCATGTGTGCTCTTGTCATGCCCTGTCACACACACCCCACCCTCGAAATAGCAATCCTCTAAACTTGATGTGTTCTATTTCCATTTTGATACTCCATGGTTGAATAAATTATAACATCTGAATTGCCTGTTGTACAAAACTGAGTTATAATCTCAATTTTAAAACAGGAGGTAATGGTAGCAGAGGATATGCAGATATTGTGAGATTCACCTGAGATTTCACAGTGTTTATGGCAAATACAAAAATAGAAGTCCTAATTCTGGAGCCTGTTTTCAGTTCAGAGGTCCTCCTGATTTGAAATAACAGAAGAAAGAGAAATAGTCCTTTGTACTGGAAGCTAATAGCTTGAAAAAGGATGAGTTCCAGAGCAGTGGGCCCCAGACCAAGATGATCAGCAGCCCTTCCAAAGTCCAGTCTGGAGTTGGCCGGCACTTTGTTCCCATTATACTTGCTATGGGGACATCTTTGAGTTCACTCCACCTTTTCATTTCCTCCTTTAGTGCAATGTCACTTGCCTAAAATAGCTTTTAGGTGACTTGCTTTACGGATGTTTTCCATAGAACACCACTCCTTTCCTTTCAGACGTGAATTTAATTTTAGTGAATGGATTGAATTTTATTTTTATTTTAATGAGAGCCCTTGTCATCACATCACCCATTACGTTATCCTTCCATATTGGTGCACCTGTTATTCATGTCAGCAATTTATTGACCTCATCAGTTAACTGCTATCCATTCTTTTCTTTTATATATTCAAATAAACTTAACTCTTTCTCATAACTTTCTTAATCAAGGGAATTTTTTATACTAAGTAATTGAAAGCCCCTTGAATCTAATCACTTCAACATATTTTGCCAGCTAACTCTATTAATAGGAAATAATGCATTGATGGTGTGCCACTTAAAATAAAGTTTAGATTAAGTTTAGAAAACTTGGGCAAAGATAGATGAAGTGTCTTATTTTTTTTTTTAATTGCTTCTGTGTCCAGAAACAAATCGGTCCCTGCATGCTTGATATAATTAGACAATTCATTTAGGCATGGGCAGCTGGGAGCAGGACCTACCACTTCAGGGCTGGGCTACTTTCAGCAGGTCAAATAAGCAGTAGGCCTTCACGGTTTTTCTTTGTCAGAACAGGAGATGAGATGACATCTAACAGAGCAACTTAACTAATATTCTTCCCTGGCCCTTCCTCTCTTGCCTTTTCAACGAGTATTTCAGGTAGGATTAATGAAAACCAGATGATAAAGCCACAAACACCATCCTTGGTCTCCAGTTTCTTGTGTATTGCAGCTTACCTTCGTTATAAACTAACATACTTGCCCCTACAAATGTTAACTGTTAGGCATCACATATGCCAACGAGCTGAAACCCCACTAAAGTAAGCATTAGAAGTTCTGGGTTCCAGCACCAGCCCCTCACTACCCATCTGAGTGATACTGGCTCTTGGTTCCTATTCTGCAAACTGCAAGGGTTGAACCAAATGTCCTCTCAAAGTTCTTTCCAGCTTCACAAATCATTTGCGTTTTTGACTTGTCTGTCCCATGTGGTAGAGTAGCCACAAAGACAGTCAAAGATGGACCTCTGATTTCCATTTCACTTCTCCATTTATATTGCCAATTACCATCCAAATGTACAGTTTAAAGCTAGGGATGCTTCTCCCCCCACCTTTTCTCATTTCAGAACACTTTTCTTCAGGAAACAGTGCGCAGGGAGTGTGAAGAACGCTTTGAACTGACACAGGCTTTGAGCCAAGCCAGAGAACAGCTTCTGGAGCTCAGGAAGCTCAGTGGAAGTTTACCTTTGTCGCCGTGTTCCCTTAACCAGGGCAGCCTAACCTCCTCTGCTGCAGTGGTCAGCAGCCAAGGAGAGAGAAGCCTTACAAGACTGAACTCTGGAAAAGGAATCAAAATCCCCAGCCTGCATGGAGTGTCAAAACCCACCACTGCCCCAACCTCAGTTCAACCCAAGAGGGTCAGCAGCTCAGGTTTGCCTACTTTCCCCCAGCCCCATCCTCCCAGGGGTCGAGCATCTTCCGTAAATGAGACCGGACAAAGACTGACTGCCATTCTGAGGAGGAGACTAAATCAGCAGTGACTGATCCAGCCAGGAGCAGCTCCAAGCAGGACACTTGGTACTTCCCAGACCAAGTGTAACTGAGGATGACAGAGGTCAAATTATTATCACAGATCAAGAATGCACGGTTATAGATATTTTTAATAGGATAGTTGGAAAAACTAGGAATTGTGAAGCCATATTTTCCAAGAGGCCTTTGAAGTTGCAACAGATAATGAAGTTGGTGGTATTCCAGAGGGCCAATTTCTATGTGTCTACATTGGATGTTTAGATGTGTTCTCTGAATATTCCCTTTTTGAGATCCCAGGTAAAATTTTTCACCCATAGCATCTTTGCTATTGTTTTTTTTTTGTACCTTTACAAGCAGATATATTTCCACCAAAAATAGATTGTGTTGGTTTTGTTGGTGTTTGTTCATTTGTTTGTTGAGCTGAATAGGTTAAATAGATGTGATTAGTATTCCAAATAGAAAATAGAAGTACATTAGTCCTAAATTTGATAATTTCCAAAATATTTAGTTCAAATATTCACAGAATTCAACATCATCATAGAAACCTTCTCTTTTCATTTTGCAATTTAATTGGTTAATACAATTTCTTTTTAGGCCAGAAGTAATGATAGGTACCCTTCAAGAAGACAGTCTTTCCTGTGAACCTGGGACCTTCTAGAAAAAGGGACACCAACTCCAATTCAAGGACAAGGGGGTTTACTTTTCAAACTTTAGAGATTATTTTTAGAAACAGTCTGGCTGACCATGTAAATATTACTTGGTAGAGGTAGTTTTTCTACATTGAATGGTTTTTAGTAATCACGATTAGATTTTGATTTGAGCCATTGGGAAAAGAACTAATTCAAGACAGTCTCATAGAGGCACATAGTGCTAATTTGGGGGTTCACGTTTTATTACCTCCTAAAATGGCCAATTGGTTAACATATTTTCTATTTTCATAGTGAAAAATTAAAACCAGAAACCAAACAGCTATTTTAAGTTATAAAGCTTCAGGCTTCTCCTGTTTCTTAAAACATAAGTCTTTACCTTAAGCTAGTGATTGTCCATCTTTTTTCCCCTTCAAGTTGAACTGCATTTTTTTTTTCCAACACTGACTTTAGTTAAATGCTTCATCTGACTGTATCAGGGACATCCAAGCTTTTTAATCCCAGATGAGAATGTTAGTAGCACATGTCAAATATGGCACATAAAACTCTCCTCTGTCTGGCTATTATGTTCATGAGAGAATCCAAAGGTACTTGGAATCCCTCCCATGTGCAAAAAGCAAAGTAAAGCTGCTAAGTAAATTCAAGTTTATCTCTAATCTTTAAAAGGATTAGTCTAATCTACCAATCGTGTGTTTTAACTTCAAAAAAAAAAAAAAAAATTCCACATTAGGTCTGCCGATTTCCCTGACTAGTTTAAGTGAGCACATCTTGTGTTAAGGCTTAGAATGCTTAGTTTCACTTTACAGAGATCGATGTTCCTTATAATGGCATTTGACAAGAGAACAAAACAATAGAATGGTGGTGCTGGAGTGAACCTTAGAGGTCACCCCAACCATTTCTTTACAAATAAGGAATAGATACCCAAAGAAGTCCGACTTGCTAAAGAGGTACAGCTAGTGACAGAGCTAAAACCAGACCGTTAACCGACCCCAACCACTCCACTCACTTTCCCACTCATCAGAGTTTCCCCAGCCTCCATCAGGACTTTTGTCAGAAGCCCCACATAGTGTTTACCTAATATTTTCTTTAAATGCCCTCGCTTTTTAAACTTAAAGTTATGTAAAAAGAAAGCTTGGCCCAAGAAAGAATAATTGTAGAGTAACGAGTTTGATTTGCTAGGTATATTTTTGCTAATACTTGAAAATCAACATGTATCTGTTAAAATTACAAAATGTTGGCTGGTGTACCCCCTAAAATCATTGTGTACAATGACAGTAGTACCCGTGCCACCCCCTGGGAACTACTGGACCAGACCTCGATGTTTCTGACCTGGTATTTGGATGTTTAAATTACAAGTACTCGTGACGTGAGGTAGATGGAAGAAGCTAGAGAAAACTTTAATAAAAGCCTACAGGAAAATTCGGGAAAGCGGTTCTTTGCCATCATATGATACACGCTTTTCCACAGTCTCCCAATTTCAGCTCTCTCTTCGGGAACCATGGGGATACATTTTTTTCCCTAAATTATGAACACATTTAAATTTGTAAAGAAGGTCACGTGTAAGCTTTTCTAAAGTGATAAAGACTATCAGTGCAAATCTGGTTTCTTGGTTTGTTGTTATACTCTCACTTTATAATATAACAAGTCATTATGTAAATAATCTCTCTGAGAATAGAATCACGGTAAGACTGTGTTATATTCCACAAGTATATTAGAGAGGTTATTCCGTGGATACACGACAGAGACAATATTGACATTTGTATCAAGCTAGACCACTTGAATGGTGCCATCTAAGCTATGTGCTGGGATTTTTTAGAGGAAGACACTTAAAGAAAAGAGAATCGCACTAGAGTATGTAACCTGGGGGTTAAGAACATAAACTTCCCTTGATTTTCTCACTGATGAGCTAACTCCTGGCATGAAACAGTATCATATCAAGAGTGTTAGGGAGGCAGTGAATACTATGGCAAAAGAGAGCTCTCAAATGCATATAATGGATATTAATTTAAATCTATTAGTTTTAATTTCTCTATATACATCTGTTTTCCATGACCTCAGTGGAAGGATTGATAGGTGCAAAAAGAAAAGAATATCACAGAAAATATTCCTCAAATAATTATAACCCTGGTTTTTTTTTTTCTTCTCAATTTAATATTGGTAGACAAAGATGGGAGAATTCTATAGTTAACATAGATTTTTCAAGTGATCTTTTTCAAAGTCTTTTTGAATGCAATTACTGTATTTATAGTTAGAATTACTTAAAAGTTATATTTTCTGGCAATGGAATTGACTGGAAGAGATGTTAATGTTGAAAATTATGCAGGGGCACCTGGGTGTCTCAGTTGGTTGAGGCTCCAACTTCAGCTCAGGTCATGATATCATGGTTCATGAATTTGAGCTCCATGTCAGGCTCTGTGCTGACAGCTCAGAGCCTAGAGCCTGTTTCAGATTTCTCTCTCTCTCTCTCTCTCTCTCTCTCTCTCTCTCTCTGCTCTCCCCCACTCATGCTCTGTCTCTTTCAAAAAGAAACTTTAAAAAAAGAAAATTATGTAAAACTAAGATTTTTTTTTTTTCAACGTTTATTTATTTTTGGGACAGAGAGAGACAGAGCATGAACGGGGGAGGGACAGAGAGAGAGGGAGACACAGAATCGGAAACAGGCTCCAGGCTCTGAGCCATCAGCCCAGAGCCCGACGCGGGGCTCGAACTCCCGGACCGCGAGATCGTGACCTGGCTGAAGTCGGACGCTTAACCGACTGCGCCACCCAGGCGCTCCAAAACTAAGATTTTTTAAAATGTTCTATTAGTCCCAAAGGTTTTTGTAGTATTACAGATCAATTATAGCTAATTGCTTTGATTGTGGAACAAGTTTTCTCAAGCTGCATCTTTTAAGGTTCTTAAAATTGCAGTATTGCACTGATAAAGCAACCTAGTATCCTGAAAGGGTTAATGCACTGGAGCTCAAAATTCCTGACCATCATTTTGTATCTTATGGAGCACAGGAAATCAATTTAATATGTGTCCAAAGTTCACAAATCCTACAATGATTATAGATATATATTTTTTACTTTTCCACTTTCATGGTTTATTTTTTTAATTTATTTATTCTGAGAGAGAGAAAGTGCATGAGCAGGGGAGGGGCAGAGAGGGAAGGAATGAGTGAATCCCAAGCAGGCTGTGCTCTGTCAGCACAGAGCCCAACAACGCAGGGTTAGAACTATGAACCATGAGATCATGACCTGAGCCTAAACCAAGAGCTGGACACTTAACTGACTGAGCCACTCAGGTGCTCCTTCACTTACATGTTTTAGTAAAATAATATATCTTGTTCAGAACACCTTTAATGGTCCTCAAGCCATGATAGACAATAATGGTCGCATTCCTAAGGTGTTGTCTATGGTATCTTAAGGAAGAAATTCTGCTTTTCCTTTTGAAAATATTAACCCCATATAGTAATAAATTGTGAAGCCAATATAGTTGGGTTGCCTCTTTAAAATCTTAAATATAAATTATGTCATCTTTGTATAATCTTTTTCACACATAAAATTTTCTTCATAACACTGTAGTTGAATCTGAAACACACATATCCTATGACAATATTTACCATGATCCAGAAAGTCAAAATATTTCCTTCTTTTCCAGCATTTATACAGCATGATGTTTTATAACCATTGAGTAAAAAAATTTACTAGACATCCCTTACCTCCACCCCAAAATATACAAGAGGATACTGTGTCACAGAGATTAATTTACCTGGAAATGAATACTGATTAAGACCAAGGAATAATTTTTAAACTTCTGCAGTTTCTGAGCACTTTGATCTGTAGAACAGTGAAGCTATATTATACATTCACTCATTTCTTCAACAGATACAGAGAATTGAAAAAGCACTGTGAGAGCTATAAAAATGAAGACATACTACAGTTTCCCGAGAATTGTATAGTAGAGAGCAAGAGGGCGTATATACAGAAATTATAATGTCAGGTAGTAGATGCTGAGGAGAGAATCAAAAGCAAAGAGTTCATCTTCTTGCTGGAAAAATCAGGGAGCATTTTTAGCAAGAACTGGCATTTATAATAGATCTTAAAAAATTGGTAGGGTTTTATAGAAGAAGGTATACCAGATGGAAGAGATGTATAAAGAGGTACAGGCATGGAAAGTGTAGAAAATACTTGGTGAGGGGAAGTAGTGGGAACCTGACCCCATAGCATGGAGGTGTTGAATAAAGGCCATTGCAGCATTTTGACTAAAAGAGGCATGCATTTTGTTGAAATCTGGCAGAGGTTTATAGGAATAATTATGGGGTGGAAAGGCTGGAGATGGAACACAAGTTGGTAGATTAGTACAGTAGTCCAGACAAGAGT